ACAGATAATTTTTAGAAATGTCTGAAGCAAAGTTCTCATCCACCGCCATGTGGATAATTGATCATAATTGTACAGCTCGCTGATTAATGATGTTGTTATTTTCATATTTTGCCAAATTAATGTAAATGTTTGATGTTAAACTTTGATTCTGTAAAATAAATGACCGCATTCATTTTGATGGGTCAAAGATAAATAACGTCTCACTTTACCTTTTATTAAATTCAATGCACGTTTTATTCAGTCCAGAAAAATGAAGAATCCGTTTTAACTGATGAATATATCGCAGCATCTGTTCATCTACAATAGGAATCAATAAACTCAATGGGGACACAATTTAAGAATAAAATCGGAGGAAGAACTGCTGGGACCGACTTCCTGTTTGAAAAAAAAAAGCATCCCTTTGGTTTTGTCGGCATTTAGGACAAGTTTGAGGCAGAACAAATTAGACTGGATGATGTCAAATACAGATTGCAAAAGCTGGAAAGCCTTAATAACTGTTTTAGCTCAACAATAAACAACTGTGTCATCAGCATAGAAATGTATGAATGCATCAGGGATGTTTTTACCTACATTACCTATGTAGATTGTAAAGAGGGTGGGTCCAAAGACTGAGCCTTGTGGTACACCATTGTTGACTGTTAAATAACTGGAGGAAGTACCATTATGTTGAACACATTGCCTCCGGTCTGAGAGATAGTTAGAAAACCAACCAATGGTGTGTTCTGAGAAACCGATTTCTGAGAGCTTATGACACAAGATGTTATGATCCACAGTGTCAAAAGCTTTAGACAGGTCTAAGAAAAGTGTAGTACAATAATCCTTAGCATCCAGTGCTTCAACAATGTCATTAAGAACCTTCAGTGAAGCAGTGGTTGTGCTGTATTGTTTCCTGAAGCCAGATTGATGGAGAGGTAAGATGTTAAATGAGTCCAGGTAATTTTTGATTTCAGGGTTTATCAGTTTTTCTAGAACCTTGGCTAAAATGCAGAGTTTAGAGATTGGTCGATAGTTGTTCAGTGAGGTGGGGTCACCTCCCTTCAGCAAAGGAAGAACAAAGGCTGTTTTCCAAGCATCTGGAATGGAGTTTTGGCTTATGGAGAGATTAAAGATATGGGTCACTGGGACTCTGATGATATGAGCAGCCAGTCTTAAGAAATAAGGTGGAAGTTCATCTGGTCCAGAAGATTTTTTTAGGATCAAGACCTTTTAACAGTTTATTAACCTCACTGACTGAGAATGGAGAAAAAGTGAAGGTGTGATTAACTGAGGATTGACTTGCAGGAGGGATTTGATTTGTAGAAGTTTGATTATTAAGTGAAGTGGCTGATTTTCCATTAGTAACTGTGTCAAATAAAGAACTAGAAGAAACAAAATGTTTGTTGAAACAGTTCAAGATCTTGTGCTTATTTGACACAGGAACAGAGTTAACGAGAAGTTGTGATGGGAGATCAGATGATTGTGGGGTGCCTGAGAGAGATTTGATGGTTTTCCAGAATCTGTTGGGGTCATTTAGATTTTTGGAGGTTTTTTTGTGAAACGTGAAACATGCATCAGTAAGTTTTATTCTTGAAATAATATTCAAATGTTTTTTTTTAAGTGGGGTTTTGTGGAAAGGTTATGAACAATGATTACTTGCTGTAGATAAGTCTTTGAATGACCTCTGTGGAGAAATAGAGTTTAATTCTGATTGTTGTTTGAGCAGAACCAGAATGAAAGTGGATAGCTGCCGTTCATGTGGGCAATATTTAATAAAAACCTAACCATCAAATGTACATCACACTCTGGTAGAAATATGCTTTTGCAAAAATCTATAAAAATAAATAACAATGTCATGCAAAGTTGGTAGTGATGTAAGAATTAGTAAAACATGGATTATTTAAATCATTATGAAATCTTTAAGGCAGGAACCATTTTAGTTTTTTGCAAACAATGAACCAGTCTGATCTTGGTGTTCCTCTGACGAGCCATCACCTTGCTTAGCTCCCCTGTTTTTTGCCATTTTTCACAGCGTTTGATCACAAAGCTCTCTTATAACCAGTAAGACATTAATTGTTTACACCTTTTCCACAAAACATCTGAGTTATTCTTTTAATTCTGGATTATGGTTAATGACATTTGGTGCGTTCTCCTAATAATTCCTGAAGTTTCTCAGAATCGTTCACATGAACACGGTCAGATGTGACACCACCGCTCAAGTGAATAAACTGATAGCGCCGAGTTTGAGAGGGAGCTTTCTCCTTTACCACTGAAAGTATTTTACATGCCCCTTTGATCTGCTACAGCCAACAGAGACAGTTTCATGTTTTTTTGTATCTTCCGATCCAGAAGCCAACTGATTGTGACTCTGATGAATGAGTTTTGTTCAGTTTGGTCATTAAACCTGAGCTCCAGAACTGAGTATTGTAACAGCCTGGGGTTGTAGCAGCTTAGCAGCAAATCTCATGCCATGGCTAAGACGAGATGGCGATCAGTGATTCTGATTGACAGCTCATTGATGGATGGATTGATGCATAATTCAGCATTTGTTCAATCTGCCGAAGCTGAGGTTTATTTATGCACATGTATGAAATGTGCATGGGTTATGATCTCTGTGTTATGACATTTCTATCCAAAGTTATTCCTAGAACTCTGACATATTATGAGAGAGAATAATGTATTTTGATTCTGTCTCCCACGATGCATTTCTCATCTGCCTGTATTGTGTGCTCATCTCCCCAGCACTGTCAACAAGCTGTGCTTCACCCCTGCATCATGGAAGCTCAAACTGGTGCATTATGGGAACCCATCAGCAGCGTGCCAGTTTCAATATATTGAAGGGTCGTCATGGAGACTGGCACCTACACCTCTGGCCCAGTCATGACTGACTGGGTTGGGACGCCGGCTGGCCTGGAGGGTATGGAAGTCCTCCAGAAGCATGACGAAGGAGCCCCATCCATCAGTCCTATGTTCTGGCACGTACCGTACTCACTGGGCTTCCAGGTGTCGCTCACCACCTTCCTCATGCTGGAGCTGGTGTTGGGATTTAGCAGCAATCTGACCGTGTTGGTACTCTACTGCTCTCAGTCCAATCTGGTGGACTCAGTGAGCAACATGGTGACTGTTAACCTGCATGTGCTGGATGTGGTGGTTTGTGTCCTTTGTGTGCCCCTCACTCTGGTGGTCGTGCTTCTCCCTCCAGGACCAAACCTGGCTTTGATCTGCTGCTTCCATGAGGCATGTGTTACATTTACCAGCATTGCCACAGCCGTCAACATCCTGGTTATCAGTTTGGACCGATATGACATCTCTGTGCGACCGGCTAACAGGCTGCTAACGACACGCAGGGCGGCTCTGCTCCTGGCTGCGGTCTGGGTCACCTCTGTTGCAGTGTTTTTCATGCCATTCTTAGAGGTGCAGTGGCCCAGTGCAAATGAAATAGAGGAAACAAAGCAGATGACCCCCCTGTCTTTGTCCTCACATGACGTTAGCAGCACAGCGGTGCCAGCATGGCATAACAGGACCCTCCTATGTGTTGGTGGTCAGGGCTCTCACACAGGTCCTGCTATGTATTACCATCTTATCCTGCAGGTGCCCATCTTCTTCACCACAGTGGCAGTAATGTTGTTCACCTACTCCAGAATACTGAGGGCACTGAACATTCGCATTGGCTCCCACATGAGGAGAAGTCAGAGGTGCAAGAGGCGCCGCAAGAGACAAAGGAAGAGGAAGACAGGACTTACAATGAACGAATGGGAGGAGGCAGGAGGAGAGCAGTGCACCATAGATGGGACCAAACAACTCAACCATCCTCCACTCATTCCATCTTCATCCCCCACCCCAACAGCTACTTCCCCCCCTGCCATGTCCTCTGCCGCTCCACTGGTGACCTCTGACATGGCTGCTGCCACTCCCCTGCCAGCCACCATGGGTGTCCAGGCCTCTGTATCAGCCATCATTGCTCTGCGCCGGGCAGTACGACGCCATCGAGATCGACGGGAGCGCCAAAGACGGGTGTTCAGGATGTCCCTCATCATCATCACGACCTTTCTCGGCTGTTGGGCTCCCCTCTCTGTGACCAACATGCTAATCCTGAGCATTGGGCCCAGCGATGTCCTGGTCAGCCTGCGCCTCTGGTTTCTAGCCCTGGCTTATGGCACCACCGTGTCTCACCCATTGCTGTATGCCTTTACTCGACAGAAACTACGACGCGCACTTCGCGCCAAAGTTAAGAAGAGGGTAGTGTCCCTGCTCCAGGTAGACCCCTCCCCAGGGGGCACAGTAATACATAACTCCTGGGTGGAGAACAGAAAAAGCAGCAGACAGCTGCGGCTGGAAGCAAACGAAGGTGCGGATCGCCGCCCGGCAGAGGCCCTGTGAGACCCAAATGCACAGATAAAGCTAGCATCTTTACAAAACAGAAGAGACACAGGTGTGTTTTAATAGGAAACTCACAGAGGACAATAACACACTGTACAAAAACTGAAGAGCAACTCTTTTTTTTTTACCTCTGGGAAATGTTTTAACGCAAACACCAGCAGTCAGTCCCTGCCAAACGCCGCTCCCTTCACCTCAGGCGTTATTTACAGCAGGATGCTGTGGTGCTCACCGCTTCCGCAGCTGAGGAGAATCATTCAACAAACAAACGAAGGCATAGACCCTGCTTTCTGTCAAGGACCGGGGTCTATTTACATTCAGAGATGTCCTTATTACATAACTGTCCCAAAGAGTGTGTTTATCCAGAGCAGAAGGCGATACGATCCACCTCCCTGCTCAAAAGATTCAAGGCAGCTTTTAAAGACAATGTTCGCTCTCTTAAACCACAGAAATGTTCTTTATTGTGTTTATTATGTCTGATTACCCCCTGCTTTTATGTAGCTCTGAAAAATTGCTTCACTTTTTTTATTCAGAAAAAAAATTCTGACCTATGAAAAAGAAAGTTACAGTGACGTGAATGAGTCTGAGGCAGGATAAAGAATCAAAACACGTTGACAGTGTGGAATAAGTGTGGCTTTAGCTCATGATGTTTTCGAAAGGCAGATTTCGAGACTCTCCTTAATAAAAAAAAATGCAACTCTTGATCTAAATTTGATAGAGCATAATTGAACATCTTGTCAGCTGACCTCCCTTTGTCACCCATCCACCTTCCTCTTTTTATGCTAGCCTACAGCCACATAGCTATAGCTTGATGGATCTAAACATGCAAAACTTTTACTTTAACTTCTAGAAAAAAGTCCACATTTGGAGTCGAGCTGACCGTAAAATGGATAAAAAATAAAAGGATAAATATCTTGTGAAATCTTTCAAAATAAATGAACCTTGAAGCTCATTCAACTCATCCCCAACAAAATCTTTTATTTGAATTTAACGTTTCCATTTGGCTGGTTTGGGACTTTTTGCATGAATAAATGCAGCATGTGACATTTTATTTTGAAAGAACTTGTGTGTGCTTTACATAAATATTCCCCAAATTGTTATTGATTTCATGTAAACTGAATGTAGACCAACCTTTTTTTAACTAGAGGAGTATTTCTCTCACCGCTGCCTCGTTTCTGTTTCAGCACTGAGAGTCAAACACAAGAACCATTTCTACAGCAGAATAACGAGAGAGCAATGATTTTATCACGGTGAACGCAGATGATGTAAATAATGTGGAAATGTTAATATATATTGTCTTACACCAAGGATATGTTTCTTTATTTACCATGGTGTTGTTTTTATATGAATATACAACAGAGAAATATGCCAATAATTATGAAACTGAGGGATGCGTTTGGTGCTTTTAGTTGTGTGTTTGTGTCAATTGTGTGTCAAACTCTCAGTTTCATGTGTATCCATGATGTTTGCATATTTCATTTAAGTAAATGTTATTAAAAAGCTTTGTTGTTTAAGTGAGACAAGAATTGTATTTTGCATAACATGAAGTATTTGTTGATGTGTTCATTTCTTTCTAGCAGAAAGCAGCCAGCAGTGAGTGGGTGTTGTTATGTGTTAATTTTAGTATCGGTGTGTTAAAATCAAACCTCACTGCAGAGCCTTCTGTTTGTATTCCCCTGTGAAGCCATATTGTCCCAGCGGGTCTCATTCATTCTCTTGGATCTCTAAGCGTGCACACCTGGCGCTCTTCATCACATGACCCTCCTGAGCACGCCCGCCCAGGAGCCGGCAGCCATGAAAACTTTGCGTAGGCCTCGTGCTGCGTGGGAGCAGAGCGCTGCCGGCCCGAGCAGTGAAGAGGGTCATCTATGTGGGATGAAGCCTGCAGGGCAAAGTTGGCTAATTCAGCAGAGAAATCAAGTCGCTGACACTTTCTGCTGATCTTTGGATTTGAACAAAACCAAATGACACCGAACAAAAGAAAATTAAACAGCGTTTGTCATTAAGGAGCCAAGAGATATAATATAAACCATGAGCTAAGTGGAATAAAATACAGATGTAAAATGATCCAAAACCAAAAGACAACACGTGAGATGATGTGAAACTCCTTCACTTTAGAGTTGGAGCCATAAACCAACTCCATCCAAATGGTTTGTGTTCGTTCTGTGTGTTTCGGGGCTCTGCAGGATGAAGAAGCTTTGAACAAGTCCATCCCCACGAGACCTGCTGTTTCCTTCTCTACATGGTTGGCTGCGTTTGTGAACCACTTAAAATACACCTTTTATTACCATTTTACTGTAGACGCTCTCCTTTAGAGTAGATCAAGTAGCTTTTTGTGCCTGTCTGAGTGTAAAGAGCTTTTGAGATCTTTGGTTGGACCCTCATGAATCAAAACCAGACATCAGTGACGGAGACCAAAGACTGAGGATGTGACTCACTTTGAAATAATCAGATCTTGTATAAAAGCTTTTCCTGGAGGTGAGAACATTGTTCACACTTCAGGGGATGCAGCTCCAATTTCATTTCAGAAAATTACATATTAAAAATGGAATAAACAACACAAACATTGTATTTTTTAATTAAACCACAATTCAGATCAGGTAGAAAAAATAAAATCAAACGTTGAGCAGAAGATACAAGATGCAAGAAGTGTGTTGTCATATGAAAACCGACAGTCGACAACCACCTTAAAACCTTTGACTCCAAAACAAACTGCGAAATGCAATAAAGAAAGAGAACCACCGTTGAGGTTGTCAATCAGAGGAGAAGGAACAAATATTCACAAATACACATTTATTTGACACATTGTCCTGAAAGCCTGATGAATGTGTCAAACAGATGAGCAGCGCTCTTTCCTCATTCAAACCAAAACAATAAAACATGGAAGAAAAGACCAATCTTCCTGTTTCATCACTTTTTAAAACTGTGCAGCCTCACTTCCAGCATCCTGATGGATTTCCTGAACAGTTATTTTTTGACACGTGTGTTGGAGCTCATCAGCTCACTCGAACAGAACGTCAGAACCAAACTAAAGCGTTCAGGTTTGTTTCAGGTTGAATTTATGACTTAATGTTTAATATTCTTCTTAAAACACTGTGAACAACAACAAATAATTCAGGTGAAATTATTAGAAAACATTGTAAATTAATTTGTTCACATAATCCACAGCTCTGACCAAAAGAATAGTAGGTTTTTGGTCATGTTGAGAAAGTGAGTTGTTTAAGTTAAAACTCATAATTGTGTACCGTATTTTCTGGCGTATAAGTCTCAGTTTTTTTGCATAAATTTGTCAGTCCTGCGTCTTTTTTTTTTTTTTTCATATTCATAAGGCAATTTTTAACTTACGCTTTAAATTTCTAAGAACTGCAACAACTAGTCCTCCCGTGCGTGCTCACTTCACTCAGCTGGTGCAGGTGGAAGAATGAGCTAGCAGCTCCACTGTGATGCATGGATGGATGGATGGATAGGTGGAGGGCGCCGCATCGCCCAGGTGAAATGAAGCTGTTTTGACCATTAAAGTGCATTTATTAAGGAAAAGTTCAACTGAGACACACTTTTCTATAATGTCAAGCAAACAGATAATTGTTTTTAAGTGTTAATCTTGTTAATTTTCGAAGAACTGCAACAGCGAGTCCTCCCGTGTGCGCTCGCTTCCACCCAGTGAAATGAAGCTGTTTTGACCATTAAATACATAATAAACGCGACAGGTCAGCGGTGACAGGCAATAAATGTGTTGTATACACCGAAGCGACTTATATTTGTTTTTTTCCCTCGTCATGATGCTTTTTTGACTGATGCGACTTATACGCCGGAAAATATGGTACTTATGTTTCAGTTTGTTGTTGTACACCAACAGGAGCCAGTTTGTTCTCTTTGATACTTGTTACTGTCAAACTTTTGGTGACATCCATAAGATCTGGTTTTCATGGTTTACAGCTCACTGCACAGATGAAGCCCAGGTTTTGATGAATTTTAGGATTTAATGTTATTTTAAACTAAAATGTACAGTCCTGCCTCTGGACACAAATGCTGAACCTGTTTCTGCTCTGCCTGGTGGAAACGATGGGATGGTCACTCAAATGGCAGATGTTCATGCAGCTGTCACAAACATGACTCTGGACTGTTCAGAAAAATATCAAATGTTCAACACAGACTTCTTAAAGGATGCTTGTTCTGTCAAATGAGCTGTTTTTAAAATTTATGACATGAACAAAAATAAAAACCTTAAAAAGAGTCATGACAGAAAACTGAAAGTGATGTTGCTTAAAATGTGCAACAAATAAATTCTCCTCCAAACTTCATCAAGATGAATGTGAGTATAGTTTTATGAGCCTGATGGGAGAAATGTTTAACCCCACTCTTATTTAACAAATATAAAAAAATAAGATGTCTGCTGGTTTGGATGGAGCCATTTTTCAGGATGATAATGCATTTTGACAGGAATGTAAAAACATTTCTTCAGGGAAATGTATCAGTGCCGTAAAAGAGCCAACAAACTGTTCACAACTCAATCAGGCTGAAAGTTTATGGTGGAAATTGAAAAGAAAAGGCTCACGTCTAGGACTGATTCTGCAAAACTGATGCGTCTACTGCCGCATGACACAGCTTGAATGTGACGGATGAAGCCGGTTGTTTTTCTGTGGTGATGTTGATAAATGGAAAGCTGTCAGAAAATCCAGAGGGGCAAACAAAGTGTCAGTTGGATTTTATTTCCACAAATACATGAGTCCTTCACCAAGACTGTGTGATTGCATCATTTTTTCCCTTCCATCTCTCATAGCAAAAAGCCCAGAAATAAGTCAAAACATTAGCTGTTAAATAAATAAAAATAGCTGTGATTTTTATTGTTTTTAATTTTGATGCTAGCTGTGACTAAAGCCTTATAATTCAAAATTTCAAAACAAGAAGCCAAATGCGTTGCTGAAAAATGCTAAAAAAAATTCCAATGACAAAAAAACTTTTGTCTTTGTCCTCAAAATGAATATATTTCCAGAACACCTGCATCTGTTCCAGATTGTGAGAGCACCAAAGCACGTCTGCTTTAGAAAACACATTTACCTGTCTGTCACAGGTTACAGGAGAAAACCAAACTGAC